TTTTATTAATAATATTATTATTAAAGCCATTTTTTTCTTGTTCGTCGAAGATATCTATTAGATTGGAACATTTCAACATGGCTGAAAACATTAAAAAACCTTATGAATTAATTGGGAGACCATTACAATAACGAAACGTGACTTGTGTAAGATGCAATTTATAACTAAACTAAGGAAATTTTCTACTCGTAAAAATTATTGCTTCTAAAAATTTACAATCAAAAATAAACCCTAACTAAACATCAAGAAGCAGATTTTTCAGAAAACCTTGCCAATGTTACTTTTCTGGACAATTTTTAAACGATGATATTAAATGGTTCAAATATCCAAAAGAATATGTGCAATATGTATATTCCAACATGCTTCGAATTCGCTTTTTTTCGGAGGAGTATATATTCAAATTGTCTTCTGCATTTACGGGAACGCTTATATGTGCTTTGCTACACTCAAATTAAACTTTCGTGTTGCACTTGAGAACAGGAAAGTTGAATACTGAGCTGCTGAATGGTGAGTTATTTCAAGTGCTTATAGGGGACTATTGAAGCTTTTAATTAAGCTGTTAAGGGAGTGCGAGGTAGTACCGTTGCTACGAGCTGACTGCGCACTGGTCCTCACAAGCTTTCAGGGCTAGATGAAGCGATGGTAGTACCTATATTTGTGTATTTATGTATGTATGTATAGGTCCAATGGCCTCTCTCTAGTTAACACCGTACTGCCTGAAGAGTTCCTGCTAGAAGTGATCCTGCTTATACAGAACAGAACGGATATAGACCGGAAGGCCAATAACCATTCCTGGTGAAGGGCAGCAGCACTCACCAGTACTACGAAGAGGCGCTAAGGAAATGATCCTGACATGGCTCTTTGAAGTAATATCACGGGCATGATTGAAACTTTGGTTTGAATGGTTGTGATGCTGCTGTGAGGAAGGCAAGTGGGAAACCACCTCATGAATTCTCTCTAGAGCAATTATCATGACACTACCAAATCAACCAATGGCCTCGAGTCCCCGGCGTCTCTTAATGAGACAGGGGTGTGAAAAATCTCAGGGTAAAATGACAAAAAATGTCACAAGATAGCAATATCGAATTTAAGGACTCTATCTAAGGCTGATAAGCTAAGTAAGCTCTTACTAGAGATGCGAAGATTAAACCTCTCTGTCATCGGAGTCTGTGAAACTAGATGGTCAGATAATTGAAGCTTCGAATTGGCTGCCTGCACCGTCTATTTCTCTGGAAACCGTGACTAGAACCATCGCAATGGAGTCACGGCGATCAGATCATAGAAAAGTCGGTCAGCAAATCTGTTACTCAGTTCCTGCCGGGGTCGGATCGAGTAATGTATGTTCAGCTGGGTGGTTCTCCAATAAACATAAACCTAAGACAGTACTACGCCCCCACCGCAGATAAAAGTGAATAAGAAATTCAATCCTGCTACCAGCAAATCGAAGATTTACTAAAACTTAGAAAACAACATGAAATAACAGTGATAATTGGAGACTTTAATGCGAAAGTTGTACAGAATACAGAAGATGTTACCGGAGAATAGGCTTGGGGGAGCGGAACGAGAGAGGTGGATAATAGAATTCTGCCAGGAAAAGAGTTTTACTGCTATGAACACTTGAATCAGGTTCCCACCAAGTCACCGCTACACGTGGAAATCACTGCAACTCTGTTGGCGCA